GACCCATATTTTTTATAATTTGGAAGGAATTAGTTTTTTTGGTACAGACATGTTTTTACTAAAAATTATCGTTTAAAAAAAAATATTTTTAGGTGATTCCCCTATCCCCGCCTGGGCAGTTGTCATACTTGTAGCACTTGCCGAAATTATTGTGGGGGCAATAATTTTCTTCGTGATGAAAAGGGCCGTTTTGGACACACCTATTGTTGGTTCTTACAGTCCAGCAAAAACAGAGGAAGCATAACAATGTACACATGAACATATTTTTATTTTTCTGTATTTTTATTATTTTTATAAACTCAAATGTAATTTGACCCATTTTTATTAAAAATCGAGGAAAAAAAATTGCACACACACTACCTTTAAATTAATGTAGTGGAAAAAATTGAAATAAACCACAGTTGCATTTGTTAATCGCTGTCCATATTTATCTCTTTTAATTTCTCCCAGTCAAGATCAACAATGAGAATTTGATTTCTGTGTTGTGTAACAGTTACAGTTACAGGGGCATATAAATCTCTATCTAAAGCGGACCATCCTGTATACTGTAACAATTCCCGTATTAAAAATTAAAATAAACGTTTTAAGCCTTACAATTGACGTTGTTTTGTGTCTTATTTTCCCCTCCTCATCAAACGGTTCATATTTCTGTAATAGGGCCTTCCCATCAACCCTCCAAATACAGGGGTGCTTTTTGGGGTCCCCCACTTGTGCGTCTTTTTTCAAAATCAGAAAAGAGCCAGTCTACAAATGATATAACAAAAGGCTACCTTCCTTAATAGTAAAATCGTCCCTTACCGAAAAGTCTTTCGCGTTGATCGTTTTGGGTAGGTTTTTTTGTTCGTCCACTGGGGGCTCAATTTTCTGTTTTTTGTTCACTCCATTTCGTTTTCTCGGTTTCGGGTCGTCGTCAATTTCACTCGAGCTTGATTCGGACTTGAGACGGGGCTTTTTGCTGACTCTGGAAGACGCCCGGCGTGTTGTGGTTTTCCTGACCTGGAAAATTGATTTATTTTTGTTGTTTTGACTCGGGGAAACACTCGAGTTACCGGTTCTAATTCGGCCCCACTGCTCCACTCCGAGCCTGAGCTTTCGTAAACTGCAGGATCGTCTTCGTTTTCGGAAAAATCGCTAACCTTGCTCATTTTGCAAGTGTGAAAAACTCCAACACGGAGTCACTGAATTCCTTCTTGTAGGCGTGGGGTTGGTTATGGTTTTTGTTGATCAATTCACCACGGAATGTTTAAAAACACAAATCATTACGCAAATACACGAATTTGATTATGTTGTTTTTTGCTCCTGTCGACGCCATGTTGCACACACCTGTCAAAAAAATTAATAAAAATGTACCGAGTGAGCTTACGACCGAAAGTTTTCATTGGCTGGTTACGGATTTGGAGCGCACCAAGTGGGGAAGATGCAAACTAAAATAACAGCGGGTGATTTAAAAGAGAAAATAGAAGTTTTTAAAATTGATGTTTGTATTTTAGATAGTCTTTGTCGGTTTTACTTGGTTTTTAAAATATTTTTAATACTAAAAAAAATTTACATTTTATTGATAAATAAATATATTCAACTTTAAACATTAAAAAAATTAATTATTATTTTAGTAGCCAAAAACTTTATAGTTGCACAAGAAATGGAAGAAATATGACTCAATTATCAACGATAGGCAACCAACAATGTCATTTTTGTTACGTAGTTATAATTTGTTTTTGTAACACAACTTACTAAATTAGAGTTTTTTTTTTTAATTTTGTGATTGTGATACTATTAAAAAGCTTACATATTTTTATAATAAAATTTAATGCAAAACGATAATATGGATGGCGCCATCTAGACCAGGATTGCGCGCGGCGCTGTTTCGGTCGATAATTCAGTTTACCTTTTTACTTGTCGGTGGCGTTTGCATAGGATTTATTAGCTGTCCAATCGTTTTTAACAGGTAAGTCAATGTCTTGATATTTATTAAATGTTTAAGTAAAATGTAATTCGTCTGACATTCTGTTCATTTTCAACGGTGGTGTCTAAAATTAAAGTAAATCAAATAACTGAATCCTGACCCACGAACGTGGTTTTTATATTGTTGTAATCGTTTTTCAATGTCATAAAAGAAAAACATGGTAGTAATTAATAACTAGAATAATTATATTTATTATACTGTTATCACTGGGAAGTTGTAACACGTGTTGTACTACTTGTACTTAACCTAAAACCAGGGTTGATGAGCAGGCATAGGCAAATATGTTAATGAAAAACATACAACCAAGAGACGGCGCCACTTGCTTTTATTTACAGATTTCTGTAAATTACCACAAACAGTAGTAAACAGAAACTACTAGTGCCATCTCTTGGTTGTATGTTTTGTTTTTACTTAAAAAAATAGAGAATATAAAGCAATCTTTGGATATTTGACGCAAAATATCAAAAAACACTTTTCAATCAACTTTCACTAGTATTGTTCAAATAATTTCCCAGTTAATTTTTCCCTTTCGAGTTCGAATTATTTGTTACATACCATACTTTGTTCGTGGTACGCTCTTTTCATTGTGTGTTTAAATTTTGCTTGGTTTCGTTTTTTAGTATCTACTTTTAAGGTAGAATTATTCAAGTTTCAAGTTTTCAAGTTTTGAAATAGGTAACACTCTCCTAAAAGATATCCAACAGCAATGCTCCTCAAGAGAATCTTGAAACTACTGGGTAAGAGTCCAGAAATTTGGGGACATTTAACTGCTGTCAAAATTTGAACAGGTAAAAACATAATTAGAAAGGAAAATTTTCGCTTTTGAATTGTGGTCTGTTTCTAGAACTAGGGGGGATTTTAAGCTCTTTTACAGCTAATGTCATCACACTTGGACGATATCACAAGGGCTTGCAATGTAGGGTTAGACTCTCAGAAATTTTTATTGATTGATTCTAAAAACACGGTTGTAGAATGAGAAAAGAATGATTTTTTAGGTAACAAATAAATTTTGACTGAACGTCTCTCTAATAATGTGTCCTCCGCTGTGATTTTGACCGCAGTTCAAACAGAGATTCTGTCAGTCCGGATAGGCTAAAACACTTTTTTAGTTAAATTTTTGCTCATAATCTGATTCCAAAATAAAGTATAAGAAGTTCAAACAAAAAATTTACACGAAAAAGTCTTCGCAACAGTTTTTTGGGCTAAAGAAGGACTTTTGCTATTACCTGAGACGATCATATCAAAAGGAAACTATGCAAAATATTCTAAAATTGTGTGTGATTCTATCGCTAAAACCTGCTTTATGTTCTACATTATCGAATATATTATTTTATTTTTTTCTCTTTTGTTCCCAATTGTTCCGATTTGTTCTCTTTTGTTCCGTATTGCTCTGGTTTGTTCCCGTTTGTTCTCGTTTTACATGCAATCTTAATTCCAACTGAATTTTGTGCTATATTAAGGGAATTTCTGGAAATACTTTTAGATTTGCAAAAATCTGTCTTTGTTAGTTTTTTATTTACGGTAGAATTGAGATATTCAATGGCAAAATTACCATTTTTCATTTGCGTTACTTCATTGATATTTCTTGGTATATTTAGTTTTTTATCTCGAGTAAAAGATTTGTAACTATTTTTAAATTGTTGGAGTTCAGATTGTTGTCTTGTTTTTAATGGTGTGTAATACTCTGTACAGTCTTCAGTATTTGTCATTTTTTTAAATTTATTTTAGAAATTTAGTCTAATATTAAACTTTTGTTGGTTATGGTTTGCCATGTAATAGAGATTTGTTTTCGATCTAATTTGACTTGTATGGTTAAAAGCAGTTTATACCCCTTCTGATAATTAAATTATTATAAATAAATATAAAAATCAATGATCTTTCCCAATGCAAATAATTGTGTTTATATTTTGCTACAGCTTTCTTGATAACCAATCCAATTTTTTTTCTTCACCTGATTTCATCATGCCTGGTGGTAGAAAGAGTGGACGAAATACACGCAGAACTCTCGCAACAGCAATAGAATCCGAAAAAAGGCCACATTTCAACCCTGACGACACAACTGAACCAACTGCAGTGAGTGGCTCACTTGTTTCAAATAAATATTTTATTGATTCAGCAACTTATGTGAATTTTTAATATTTGTATGTTTCTGTATTCTTTTTCCAGGGTGAAGTTGTAGGTGTAGATGGAATCTCTGGAAACAAAGTAGGTAAGTTGTTGTTGTGAGTAATTAAATAATTCAATGACTTTTATTTACAGAAACATTGCAGTAAGCCAAATATTAGTACATGTTCATCACAGTTTTCGATAATCAAAACCACAGACCATTTTGTGGACAAAACTAAGATTATAGAGGTTCTTTTTGGTGATTCAGAATATGTTCTTATCACAAGACCAAGACGATTCGGCAAGTCCACCATGATGAACATGGTAAAAGAGTTTGTGGAGAAGAAGGTATACACAAGAGGAGATAAAGTAGGACAAGAAATCCTGAGGTCAACAGAAAATGATCGTGCATTTCCTGAGATGAATTTGCGTCTGTTTGAAGATGGGAACTTGGAAATTTCCAAGTGGGATGAGTTCTCTCGCCATCGTGGGAAATATCCGACCATTTACTTAGATTTACAATCGATTCATGGTTATAATTTTCTGCAAATTTTGCTTTCGTTTAGGAGAACCATAATCGATGCATTTAGTTCCCACAGTTATTTACTGCATTGTGAAGACTTGTGGTCAACTGAAGAAGATAAAAAAACATTTATAAAATACCTGTATCCAACATCCATAGATCAGATGATAGTAAGCAGCTCAGAAGCCGTGGAAGCTTTATTGTTATCTTATATAGAAGGGTCTTTGCCATTCCTAGTTCAAGTTTTACACAAACACTACAGTCATGGAATTTATCTTTTCATTGACGAGTACGACGCGCCCATTAACAACATACTCTTCGAAAATAAAGATCTTTGCGAAAAAGTTAATAACCTGCTTACCATTGTCTTTAAAAATCTTATGAAGCGACAAGACAGTTTCATAGCTCGTGCTTTGATCACAGGGATATCTTACATGGCTTTTCAGGAGTGAACAATGTGAAAAAACACATGTTTCTCAGAGGAGCACTGGATGGTGATGATAGGTATGAAGTATTTTATGGCATAACAGAAGAAGAACTGGAGCAGCTCACAACAAAGTTCACTGAGAAATTTTGTCAGGGCGTGAACAAACTCCCTAAAGAAAAAGTGGAATCATATTACAACGGATACCAAAGTATTGGACGGAGTAGAGTCAAGATATATCCTATTTGGTCAATTGTGAACGCTCTAGAAAACGGAAAGATATGCAATTATTGGGAGGAGTCTGGAATCATGGCGGGCGCAAGACAGGGACTTAAGATACCAATTGTTCGGATCGCAATTGAAAAGTTGTTGTCGGGAAGACACATCAAATGTGAAATTCCATATGAATTAGAGCTAGAACACCTCCAAGACCTGTGTGATGTGATTTTGAAGTGGGAAGAGAAATGGACTCTCTTAAAACCTGATGTTTTCCTTTCTTTTCTGATGCAACAAGGGTATTTAGTGTATGAAAAAAATATAGAAAAAGACATATTTGAAGTTAAAATTCCTAATACATTTGTTGAGAACGAATTTAGAAAACTGATCAAAACGTACTTTGAAAATCATTATGATCGTCTCATTGCAAATGTAACGGCAGTGTTCGATGAGTTCCCAGATGATTTAAGTGATGAAATTGTGAAGAGATTAATTAGTTCTATGCAGAAGGTATTTGAACATGTGAGCGAAAAATGGAACCAATGCAACGAAGACGTGTACCATTGTGTGATTTTCCACTGTTTGTATAACTCATCAGAGTACATGTGTTGCACTGAACTGTCGGGACTTGACATTGCGTTCAATTCAGAAAATAAAGCAGAGTAATAATTGAGGTCAAGCACTGTCAGAGTGCATTAAAGGCTTTTGAACAAATTGAAAGTAAAGGCTATGCAGAAATTTTCAGGAAAAAGTTATCAAATGAAAAGCTCAAATGTGTTTGTATGGTATTGAATGTGAATAACAACAATAAAGTAAGCATTGCCTATAAGAATGCAGATAAGGCTGGTTCACCACGTGTGATTTCTTTGGAAAATGGAGACTGAAATGTGCCTCTTGTGTTTATTACATTGTAAATTTTCGTCCTTGTTTTCCATTACAATTTTTTGCCATTGACCACATTTATGGGTACCACTAACTAACATTTATACAGGGTGAATATAAAGTATGGAACCAAGCGGTTTTATTTTTAATCATTTGCCTCCGGAAAATAATAATTAATAAGTAATATAAAAAATGTGATCGTATTTTCAGAACGAAATTTTGTTTTGTTTTTGAGTTTTGCAATTTTTTTGTCAAAATTGCAATTTATGTGAAAAAAAGCAGATAGTTGTAATCCTTAGAGTATAGCTTTTATGAGAAAAATTATTTTATAGTGGGTTGCCATTTAAAAAAAAATTTTTTTTTGTAGAACTCAAAAGCAAAAAGAAATTTCGAAAAATTTTATTCTTGTTAAATCATCACATTTTTATAGTACTTTATGACTCATCAATTAGTTTTTTCAAAAAATAAATAGTTTAAGTAAAAAACGTTTGCTTCCATACTTTTTATTCACCTGGTAGTTATGTCTTATAAAAAAAAGATTGTGATAGGCCGAATCATTTTTTATGAAGAACAACGATAAATTAAAAAATAAAAACGATCTCTTCAATATTTTTTTTTCATAGTTGCCCCGTTGAAAAATTATTTGTTTGAGACTTGGGACTTCTGGCGAGCATTAAAAGTAATATTTTTTTGTATACGCTCTCGAAACAAGCTGAGTCTTTGCTGAATCCAGTAAAATAGTATGAAAATGGTTATATTAGGTACTTAATACTCAAAATATAGTTTTGTAGAACGGATAAGTCAATTTAGTTACTATCGTGGCGAAATTTGTTCAATTAATAATAGGTGTAAATTTGTTGTATAATAAATTATTTTGTCTGATTATTGTTGCTAACATGGCACACATTTTTTCGAAAAAAAATGGTCAGGTCTACTAAACACGGGAGATTTGATAGAAGTACAATTACAACAAAATTAGCTTGTTTTCTCATTTCACGTCAAATGTTTCTGCTTCTAGTTTTCTAATAATAATAACCAAAAATTATTATGCTAATTACATGATAAAGATAATCCGTCCTTTGCTTGGGTTGGTATGTACAAGAGCAGGTAGAGACCCTCGTTCCTCCACAGAAGCGGCGCTGGCAACGCCTCTAGTGGTAAAAACAATGAACTAGGAGGCATTTTTGGCCAAAATATATTATTATTAATTTAAAAGCAACAGTGTTTTATTACATGGTGTTTGTTGAATTTGTTAAGAATTAATGTTTTGTAATAAATACCAAAATCCTAAAACGAATCTTTAGGTCTACCGTTAAATATCGTGACTTTTACATCAATCACAATATCTCAAAAACTAAACACTTTTTTTAAAAAAAGGCCAACGCATCGGCCTATAGAATATTCTTTTAAATTATCTTACAAAAACCAAAATTGATTACTTGAAAAATGACTGAGTAAAGTTGTTTTCAAGTTCACCATTTATGCATTTTTGTTCTTTTTTTAAAAGTATTATTTTTTTTTTTTAAAATCTCAACGTATCGGCCTGTAGATTTAAAAAACCTTTGTTTTGATGTATAATACATGAAATTCTGTTGCATATTAAGAGAGTAATCTTGTTTTCAATATACTAACGTTGGTGCGGACACCCTTAAATCGAAAATATCATATTTTTCACCTTTTCAAGCGTTTAAGAAAGTTCTTCAGCCAGAAATGCAATTTTTTTGCAAAATTTTTGCAGTTAAATACATTTTTGAACTAAAAACTTCTTTTTTTCGCAAAATGTTACTAAAATCGGCCACAAAATCACTAATCTAGATTCAAATTATCGCTCTATTTTGGTCTGTTTCACTGGATTTAGTTTGGTGACCTAAAAACCTACTTTTTGCAAAAAAATTTATTCACAACCAAAAAACTACCAAGTTTTTTAAAACTTTAAAGCGTTAAACATGTTTTTTTTAGGAAAAAATGACCAAATAACATTATTTTTGACTTTTTCAGTTACAAATGCACTTTTTTTGCGACATTTTGCTCAAGCAAGTTGTGAAATCTTCTAATTAGACAAAAATTGGTGTTTTTTGCCATTTGTAAGTAAAAATCTTAATTGTTGTTTAGGCAAAAAATTATTTCATTTTTATCTATTTTCAAGCGAATAAAAACGTTT